AGGACTCGTAACTGGAAAAACCGAATGAAAAAAGAATGTTTAACTACAAATACTTTTTCACATCCAACCCAGTTCTGCGGAATCAGAATCAACGTTGAGTTTAAGCAAGCGAATGAGCCAATTGGAGTAAAGTGCCATGCAGATTTAAATTTTTCCCACTTGTGACGAATACTGCTATCGATTTTTTTGCATGCTAGCATGCTAGTTAATATTGGTGTCAGTCAGTTGTTGGCTCTCACGCTGACCAATAGAATAGTTCTGCCTATTCGTGGCAGCCAGCTATAGGGTCTCACTCTGGCCAATAGAAGATGGCCGAAAACTACGTGAAAACTTCCGTAGAAGCATGAAAAAATCGATTATTTCCCCTATCGATTGGAGTTGGGAAATGCAAAGTCGGTCTTGGAAATTTTGGTGCAAATCCGTCGAAAATTGCGCCCGTGCATTCGTTACACACACACATCCTGCCTTTTATACGCTCTATCTCTAATATTGAGCACTTTATCCCATAAATATAGCATACATTAAAACTATATATATATATATATATATATATATATATATATATATATATATATATATATATATGTGTGTGTGTGTGTGTGAAAAGTGTGTGTATAGATATAAATATTAATATATATCTGTGTGTGTGTATATATTATATTACATATATATTATATATTATTATTATATTTTATATATTATATATATTATTATTTATATATTATATGCGCGGTACTTATTAGAAAGCTTTCAATATCAGAGATAGAGCTACCCCCCAAATATATATATATATATATATATATATATATATATATATATATATATATATATATATATATACGTGTTAGTATTATAGATAATCAGAACCACAGAGAAGAAATCAGACAGACAGAATGTCAAGAAATAGATTTATTGAATATATATATATATATATATATATATATATATATATATATATATATATATATATATATAGTGTGTGTGTGTGTGGGTGCATGTATGTGTGTGCGTGTATGCATATATGAATGTATGAATAAACTCATTTAAATCTACTGTTAACAAAATAAAAGGCGTGCGTGTCTATTTTTAAAATATGCTTTAGGCTAAAATCATTTTAATACTCAAACCGAACCAAGAATGTCATTTGTTTTGAAATTGACAAATACAATTCTTTTGCATTAATGTAATCAAACATTATCAGACACATTTTGACGGGAAGATGGAGACTTCATTTGAATTGTTTAAAGTTGATCAGTATATAAAAAAAATCACAGTCGTTTGTTGTTTTGTCTCTTTGTTGAATAATAATTGGTAATTATGACCATTTTAATGACTGTACCCTTCAAATATAGACAGACGCTGAACACTTCACAAAAATTAATTCAATTAAAACAAAAATGACATCAAAATAAATTTTCCATCCAAAATATACTCTCAACCTGAAGTTCCATCCAACCAAATCAATTTGATTGTATAAGGGTAGCAGTTTTATTTGGTAAATAAATCTATATAATTAAGAAATATTTTTGTCTGTATGATTTGAATTTGAAGATATCTTAAGCCTTGATCCCTTGAAAGGTTCTGCGTTTGGGATGTCCCGAATCTATTTGTGAGTCTTCCCCACCTTTTCAAAACAGTGTATAAAAAGACATCATTTAGGATTGCTGTCGTATAACATTCTCTTTAATCTCGTTCACGGTGTTTCAACGATCATTTAAAAGTTGAAAACACGCACACACACACCCACACACCCACACACACCCACACACACACACACAAAAACGAAAAACAAAAACAAAAACAAAAAAAAAGCAGAAATATGAATACACATGAATCTGGATTGTAAGGGGAATTCTGACAGTCCTGAATGTTACATTGCCTTATTTTTTAAAAAATCCCAGCACGAAACAGAAATTTATTCGCCCGATCACCGTGAAGACGACAGTCATACACAATTCAGCCAATGGCGTCTCTCTTCCAAATGAATAACATCATCGGAATGTGTCTCTTCACGCATGCGCTGTGAGTTCTCTTCTAATTGTCGTACATTAACCAGAGCATAGAGTAAAAATGTTGTAAATGGGGCGTAAAAGAATCTTTGTGTTTCATATTTTCGCCTAAAGCTGATATACTGATATCACTTGAAAATGAAACTCTTTACTTGACGAAGACACGGTACCTGAAATATTTATTAGCTTTGATCGCAGCTTTCCTTAATTCCTGGAGAGAGTTGCCAAATTGAAAGCCCAGTTGAAATTTTAAATTTATTTTCTTGTCTTTAGTCATCCAGGTTAGTCAACCTCGATCTGCCATCTTTACCATAATTTTCCCCCAAATCGTGTATTGTTGCGATATCTGGCCTGAAGTTTCCAAACAATCTGTTTCCAGCCTTGCAAGAGTTAAAAACCATCTACACGATCTTTTGGGTGATGAAATATTTTTCACCCTACAATCTCATTCCCAGAGGCGAAACTGCATATACCCCTCGCTATTCTATCGCTATTTCCATGGGAACAAATCTTAGGAGATAGCTTCCTTAATTCCACCAGTTCAGACCTTTAGAGCTCAGATCATCTATTACATATGCACAAAGTTGCACTATCCTTATTTGCTTTGTATTCCACTGATAAGGAGAAAGTACTATTCGGACAGTTTCTTCTCAAGAACCGGGTGATTTTTGGAACAGACTCTAGAGATGATTTTTCCTCGATTGCTACATTCTCAAATTGATCAAGTCTAGGACCAACTATCGTATTCATCAACTTTTTTTTACCTCCTCGTCTTACGTCTATAAAATAACCTTCTTCGGTAACTTCGTTTTTTTAATTAGATTTTGGGTCTTCTATATGCTGAGAATATCAAGGACCAAGCATATGAGCAACTGAAACAAAAAGGAGACATACTTAACATCAGGGAGAAAGTTGAAATCTTTAGGCCACATAATGAGGAAAGAGAATTTGGAAAATTTGATACTCACAAGACGCATTCAAGGCAAGAGGGACAGAGGAAATCAACGGATAACGTACCTAACGAGCTTCATTAAATGAATGGCAGAATAGCGTTTATGACAGAATCGGGTCAGCCCGATAAAAGACACTGAATTGTTTGTATATGGGCTGTAAGTACCAGGAGTTGCGTCCCCTTCCACAATGGGTTGTTGAGAGAAAACCTACTTAGCGTAGGTGACGCAGACTATTTGCATTTGAACGAAAGTGGGCAGGTATTAGCTAATAGTCAGTGTGGGTCTGGCACTGGGAGAGCTATATAACACCAGTGTTTTTCACAGTCGAGAGAGTCACTCTGAACGTGTGAAAATCAGACAAAACGAATACTTAAAGAGATAACACACAGTCAAAATTTATTAAAAGCTAAAAAGGACCGGAAACTGCAGGGAACTATAACTGCAAACTTCCGGAAGAGACATGGTACATAGAAGAAGAAGATTCATGAAATTTATGTTTAAAAGTAACTCAAAGTGCCGTATGTAGAGAAATTTAAAATTCAAAAGAGATGGTTTATTACAAATTAATCCAATCTGAATTGCGAGAGTAATCTGAATTGTGAGAGTAAATTTTTGGTTTGTAAAAATGTTTATTTTATTTTATCTAATATTTGCTTAATGCCGAAAAAATAATTTATGCTGAAACAAAAATCGTTTGGTCAGATATAATTGATCAGTGTTTCCGCCGGCTGACAGATTAACAATAATATCCAAAGAATTTGAATTATTGACAACAGCTGCGAAACGAGTGATTAACTAACTTCTCTTTTTTATCCTTTCATCCATTTTTTAGAACGTCGCTTCGTCTCGATTCAGCTTCCCATAGAATTTCCCCTGATAGTAATATCGGAAGACCAGATCGAGGAAAGAATTAGTTTAGAAAATTGCAGTTAACCGATTTCTGGCTGAATATCTTCAAACAAAATCCAGAAGAGCGCATGCAAATCTCCGATATATTTCACAACCTTTTTAACGAAGTGCTAAAAAAAATTAGAGATGGCAGTATGACGTATGTGTGATGCAATAGGCAAATCGATATTGTGGCTGTGACAATGTAGTTGTAGTAAACCTGAAACACAAGTTGGATTTAAAACCATATGAATGCAGTTTGACTGTTGAGGCTAGAAAGATTTAGGACTCTATCTCTGAGGTATCAACTGCCTGAATTATTTCTGAAATATTTTTTACTAGAATGTTCATTCACTATAAGGTGAAAGAGCCACTCAAGATAGATGGTGATTGGATAAAGTTGTTTTATGGTCATAAATAGATGAATTAAGTGCAAATTTTGAAGTATTTAAGATAGATGACGGTTGGTCCAAAACTATAAGAGGTTAAGATTGTAATAGTCGGAGATGCATTTTCCCAGGAGTTTTTTCATTAAATCACCATTCTTGGGAAGAAGCTATCCGAGTGGAACTTGCTTCTTATGAATGGAATACAAAAGGGATGGAAATCATGGAGGGATCTAGTTTCTATTGATGGAACTAAGGAATGTAACTCGCCTGGACATTTGTCAAGAAAATAGCAATGGAGAATCGATATGCTTGCGACGTTTCGTCTGTGGGAAAGGAGTTTTAAGGTAGAACATCATTAATTGCCTACACTCTCCGGATGACTTCGGAAGTGGGCAGGTCAAACTCTCTACCTCCGGTCGAGGCTATGTCGAAGGGGAGAGTCTCGACTCGGGAGACAGCTACCCGAGCTCGTTTTTACGGGCTCTACGGGGATTTTTTGGCCGAAACTGCGGGCCCGGATACCCCACTATAAACCTGGCCTTGTGCTGCATCCGACCGCGTGGGACGGTTAGTAACTATCTCATTAATTGCCTGCAGGCAGACGCGAACAATTTGATCCTTGCAAAGGCTGGAATGTTATGATTGGGCTGAACTTATAGATATATGACAGCAACATTCCATTTTTGGTCTGAATTGACTTTTGTAAGATAGTTCATGGCAGAAGGTGCTGTACGCTTGGATGTACTGATGAAAATGGATTACGACCACATGACTTTCAAACATCGGTTCTCGTACGATCACTGAAGTTAAGCAATGTCGAGCCTAGACAGTTCTTAGATGGGTGGCCGCTTGTGAATACCAGATGTTGTAAGCTTAGATGGGCGGATGGAAATGGCTTAGGACCACATGACTTTGAAACATTGGTTCTCGTATGATCACTGAAGTTAAGCAATGTCGAGCTTAGACAGTACTTAGATGGGTGGCCGCTTGTGAATACCAGATGTTGTAAGCTTAGATGGGCGGATGGAAATGGCTTAGGACTACATGACTTTGAAACATCAGTTCTAGTACAATCACTTGTATTAAGCAATGTGGAGTCTGGCCAGTAGCTAAATGGGTGACTACTTGGGAATACCAGAGCTATAAGTTTGGATGAGCGGGTGGTCTAATAATGGCTCAGGATTGTTAATCGGTGAACCAAGCTCTCATTCTAGTTGTGTTCGTTATATTAAATTGTACGCAAATAACATTGGAGAAAGTATAAATACACCTCTTCTCTCTCAAACTAATGCTTGATTTGTAAGACTTACGTCAATAAATCCTTATTATCTCGTCTCCCCACGAGATGATATAACATCTAAAACTATTTTCTGGCTTTAAATAACCTGTAAAGGGTTGACAAACCGTATAAACCAAATCAATCAATCAATTATCTGTTTCTTCCAGTCACAAGTACTACACAATTTTGTCTTTACTGGTGTTGAATGTATTCATGGTAACTCCGAGGAACTGCTTTCGCTGGGTCACAAACTTAATGAATTTAAGCGTTCAACTAGGCTGGCATCTCGCTCCAATAGCTTCACGTCTCGCACTTCTCGCCTGTAGAACTCCCTCCCCTCTTCCTGTTTCCAAGATAGCTATAATCTCCAACTATTCAAATGTAATGTGAGTCGACGTCTCCAGATGCCCAGATCTATCCCTTAACCTTCTCTTCATCCTTTTATCTATCACTCCTATTTGCTCTAGCTCCAACTCCCTGTAACTCCTTGCATGCTAGTTGCTTCCCGCCTGGCTTAGGGTGAAATGCTTAAAAAATAATTGCGAATTCAAACCCTCGGTTGGGTAGTATGGATCTACCCAAACACACTGGCGACAGATCTGACAATAAATTAGCATTACTAAAAAGGTCATGAGAATAACAACGATGTTGACTTGGACTTTGGAATAAGAATGAAGTACACTAGTAGCTTCCAACCGATTTTAGGCCATGCCCCACTTTGTTATTTCTAAAATTCTTCTGCCGCCCCTGTAATATTTAATTCTTACATAATTCAAAATTTTACTGCCATTCACGTGAATGAAGCTTAAAAGGCCATCAAAGAGAGAAAAAAAAGACAGTTAAATATATATATAGTTTCAAAACATACAATAGAGAACTGAAAGGCAGAAATATAACATATTTGAAGAGAACATTATTCTGTAATATACTTTGTTTATTTTAATTATGAAATAATAATGCCAAATGAAATTTGAGCTCACTTTGGTATAGTAAGCCAAAGGTTGCACATCCTACGCATGTCAACCAAAATATTATCATGCCCCACCGGTGGGACATGAGTCCTACGTTGGGAATCTTGGATCTAGACTTAAATTTCGGAATGAGAAATATCTAAACTTAAGCATTAGAATAAAAATAGTCTACCCCCAGGAATAGAATAAAGATTTCACTACTAAAAGTGAAGGAAGCTGGAAGTTACAACGGCCGAAACGCGATGCTAAAAACAAAGATGTAGACATTAGCGCGGCTATAATTCATGTAAATATTTATAACACCGCTTTCTAGAAATTCAGGCAGAAAAAAATGGAAGCTGCGAGAAGTGTAAGAGATTGTAAAAAGAATATTAGGCTGGGGATCATCTAAAGAATAGGATTGGAAGGGGGCAATTTTCAGTAAGCAAATGATTCGAATAAGTATTACTTGTAATTGGCTTAACTGAAGGCAGCAATTGATGAAATCACCCGGAGTTAAGGCACAATTTTCCCTCGGGATAACCTTACACTGACCATTTCTTTAATGATCGAGAGAAAATGATTACATGATTTGTATGTTTCAGATTTTGAACCTTACTTTTTTACATTTTTATATTTTTTAGCATTATCTAAATAAAGAGAAATGGTGAATTCACTCAAAGACTAAACATCGGAGCCGAACATTTCTGTAAAGATAATGAAGATGGCAGAAAATAGCAGAGAAAAAAGGAAAATATGTTATTTAATGAAATTAATGCCGGAAAAAATATTTTATTCTTACGTAATAAACGGAACGAACTTTTCCGGCTGTTCATTAAATATCTATTTCGGAATTTTTCCGAACAGAAATGTACTCGAATATCTTCCAACATGGCTGCATTCTGCATGATACTTTCTCAAAAACAGATACTCGCAGATATTTTTATGGTGGTAGATTCAAAATATTTTCCACTCCATGTTAATAATGCCATATGCGGAAAGAGAATATAACTTAATGCAAAAGGAATTCCCTGTCTGGGATATAGATTTCCACGCACCAAATTCGTTCTGTTTCTACCGTGTTTCCCAGAAGGAGAATGTGTGGGAGATGGAATGCATAACTGATCGGAATTATTAATTGGAGAGCTGAGTTCGAATTCCAATTAAGCTTCTTAATTTCACTTACCCGTAAATACCCTTGTTTCGAATCATGCATAATACGCAACCCTTGTTTGGTAAACCTTATAAATTGTACCTCTCCAATCTCATTACGGCCAGCGTTTTCAGCTCTTATTGAAGCTGTAATTGAAGATATCTCTCAAAATTTCCGATTGTCACGATTCTAAAAGGAAACGGAAATACCTATATTGTGATTACTGCGCAGACTCAGTAACCTGTTTTTATCGATAAAATGTGCAATCTACCGGATCTGTATGGACTTTTTTTTCACAAAAGATGGTTTTAAACATAGAATAATATTATTTTAATTTAGGTTTATGATAATGTTTTTTTACATTTGTAAGTATTGTTAGATACTTTATATCTTTATGGGGTCGCAATCGCTGAATGTTAGTGTCAAATATGAAGCCATCTTTCATCCTCTCAGGGTTAAATAGTAGGGCTTGTTTCTGGCAAAATCGTTTTTATCCTCAAGAAACTGTTAATGCAGTATTCACTATCCAAACAGAATTGTTCTTACAATTCGAAATATATTTAGGCTTCAAATATCCTACAAATGGTTCCTACGTCAAAAAACAAAACAAATCAACGAATTGCAGAACTAATGTGAAAGGCGTCCTGGGTATGACGATAAACTACATCCAGCAGCAAGGCCCCTGACCTGGGTTTGAGGAGCGTTGAACCACCTCTTAATTGCTGGTGTCCCCAGGTTCAACCTGCTCTAAGGTGGTAGCACCCGGTAGGGTCCCAGCTATGGGCAAATAGTTAACCCCTAACATGGGGTCAGAACGTGTAAAAATAGGTTTTAATACCAGCAGTACATTTTTGGAAAAAATATTACCAGCATACATTTTTAAAGAAAAAATATTACCAGGAATACATTTTTGGAGAAAAAATATTACCAGCAATAGATTTTGGAAAAAAAATATTACCAGCAATAAAAATCTTGTCGCCATTAGATAACCCATTTAGGTTGATATGCCGTAAAACAACCAAACCAAACCAAACCAAACGGAATATGAAACTATGAAAGTGAAATGTATTCCTACAACCATTGTTAGTGGAATGAATTCGAATTCTATCGACTGCCTCTAATTATGGGCTCAGTAATTTTGGGAGATTACTGAATAGGATGACCAGTAAAATTGTCTCATGCCCCATTGCCAGTGTAGTGAATTCCAACCTCGCCAGATAACCTACAGTTGTATCAATCTGTCAGATTAAATCGATTTTACTAAGTAGGTGAGATTTTTCTCTTGTTAAAGCTTGTTAAGAATCTAAAGAACCAAGCTTTGTGGACCATTGCTAATGGTGTAATTACGATGCCCATTGCAATAAAATGTCTATCGACAAGATTACATCGAGCAGTAGAATCTATCTATCTATCAATCTATCTTGGTTGTAACAGTAAGATTGTTAAAAACGTGTAACTGAATAATTGTCAATGCCACAAACTGTTTAATATCTAAAAAACACTAAACTAATTGAATTTCATTTTTCCAGGTTTTCAGATAAGGCATTTAGCCATCTTGACACAATCTATTGTAAGAGTCACTGGAAAAAAAAGCCCTTTCAGTTATTCAGCTAGAAAGTGAACTGGTTAAAATCGATTTTCAGCCAGACTCACTCTCTTCCTAAATGAGCAATGGTGAGAGGAAAAAGGTCATTCCGTCCTTCAGTAATGGTACGAAAATTTATGCTGTGGTTCCCATCTTAAATGTTCATTCAAGAACCATCAAGAGAACTGTGAATAAGTTTTAAAAGAGGGAAAAGTAGACGGGAAAACTCGATCAGGATGTCACAACAGGAAGAGGGATCATTATTGCAACTTAACTCTAAAGAGATCAATTAGAAAAGATACAACTCAAGCCATAAGACGTTTGGAACGTGAAAGAGGAGTTTCAGTTATGACAGTGCAAAAGGCAGTGAAAAAAGATTTGAAAATGAAATTTTACCTGAAACGTAAGAGTCACCTTGTTACTCCAGGACAGAAAGTTAGAAGGTTAGAGAGTGCGAAGATCATCTTGAATAACCTGAAAAATGATCCTGGAATATATATATATATATATAATATATAAACATAAATATATATATATATATATATATGTGTGTTTGAACTTAATTTCAAACCTTCATGAGCTTCCAATACTTGCGTATTATTAATTAATTATGAACATGGCATTTTCGTTTATGATAGATTTCAGAGCAAAGGTTTGTAGTATTTTGCAATAAGTGACCAAGAGTCCAATGCGTAAGTGGTTCAAGAAGTGGAAATTTTGATCTTTAAAGCCAAGGACTTGCAACCAGGCCTGCATTTGTTGAGGATAAACAACTTGGAACGCTGATTAAAAATAATAGGTTTAAGCAGAGATTTTCGACATACCACAGGTCAACCATGAGAGGTTTGAAAGAAACAGGAAGAAGATGGCGAATAACTCCATGTATGAAATCTCATATACAGGGT